CCCAGGGGCAGAAGGGCAGATATTCTCATTCTTCCAGGTGATTCATAGCATCGACAATAGCTATGTTTAAGAGAGGGGCAGGCAAATGCTCCTAGGACTTCACACATTTAATTCACTTAATCCCAGTGGCAACCGGATGAGGCAGGCCAGCTCTTTACTCATTTTACAGACAAGGAAATTAGGGCCTAAAGGAATTAGGCGGCATGAGCTGTGGTAAGCCAGGCTTTACACCCAGCCCTTGGGTCCATGGTCCCGTCCACTACAGTCTTCCTTACTTAGACCTCTCCTGAAACTTCGCCCACCTAAGACACACCCGGCCTCCTCCCACGCCTCCCACTCCCCGGCCTCCCCCTTAGCCGCGCTCTCCTGGGCATCGCTGTCCTCAGATTTCCCTCTTCTGACATCTCTCGAGGCCACGCGGGTGTGAGCAGCAATACAGATCCTCTAAGATAGCAAATCTAAAAATAATTTCTCCTTAGCTTTGACATTCCTCGCTGCTGCCATTATTGTTCTGGCAGATCCGCTTTTCTAATCGTGTGAGGCTCAATGGAGCACCCGCAGAGTGATGGCTGGCTGGGGGCCCAGGACACAGGGATGTGGCTGAAAGCCTGGCTGGGCTGCGGCTGCAGAGCTGGGCTTTGATTTTCCTGGTGCAGAATAATTAAAATTACCCATAATACTGATGTTTTTTAAATTGGTTGTTTCAATAGTCAGTGGGAGCCCTTGTCAAGAGAGGGGGTGAGATGGGAGATTGGAGAGGCAGACAGGCCAGGCCCCTCCAGACCACTGGACATGCCCAGGCCCCTGGCACCCACCCTCTAGACTACATGGCATCGATTGTTTTGACTGACATCTGACTGATCACCATCCTGGACCAATCCTAGGGCTTCGAATGCAGCTGGTCATTCTCAAGAATGCACTTTGAGCTATAAGAACTCAACTTTTCTTTCTTCTTCTGAACGTTTTTGGGTTTTTGTCTGGCTGTGTTCCCAGTTTGAAAACTGAGACCCTGGAATAAATCTTCATCGTTCGTTTCTGGCCAAGCCTCCAGGCTCTTCTGGAGTTCCTTCAACATGGGTTAGAACCCAGCCTCTACAGTATCTCGGCAGCCCTTGGGCTCCATTTGCGTAGCAGCTGACAAGTATAATTACGATAATGACTCCTTTTCCCACGTCATCAGCCTTTTCCTTGATTTATGACAGATAGCTCAAAACTTATGAGCATCCATATATTTCCATTATTATTATTATTATTTCAGATTTGGATTTGTTTTCTAAAAACCCTCGAATTCAGACTCATTTGCCATTTTCTTGCTGTGTCATGCAAACTTACATCTTTTGGTGGTGTTTTTCTCATCGGTGTGATATCTCCTTTACTCAAAGGAGCTAAATATCATCTCTGGATGCACAGATTTTACTGTGTGCTCCCTCTTCCGACCATTTACAGTCTCAGCCTCGGCCTGAGGTATGTGCCTCTTTTCTGTCCTGGTGTTTCTGTCTCATGAGCCATTTCCTTTTACACGATAAAGCAGCCCTCTGAGTCCTTGATGACTAAATTTGGTAAGATAGCTTGTCAAAGGCTTTTGAAAGTCTAAACAAAAGAAATCCTTTGTTACTTCTTGTTGGCATCAGTGTCCCCTAAAAGCATTTGAATAGATTTAATAGGGATATTTTCCTTACACAGACATTCTTGCTTTCCCCCCTTTATGGTATTTTCGGAAGTATTTAGTGATCCTACCTATTATAAAAGTGAGATGCCCTTAATCCTTTGTATCTTCTCAGGAGTTCTTCTTAAAGCAATGGTTACATGGGCATCTTTCAGTTCTCCAGCTCTGGGTCAGTACACTATCTTGGGTTTTGCATTTTGGCCAACATTTATCCTTCGGGTTTCCTGACAACTCAGAATTATAACTGGGTGTGCACCTGTGTTTAGAGCCCCCTAAATAGTTGCCACTGTTCATTCTCTTTTTTTAAATCAACTGTGGGATTAGGGCTTTGAGTAAAGTATCATTTCAGGCTCATGCTCTCTTGTATTTTCATCTGAAGAGAAGCTTTGAACCACACAAATCTAGGAGTCCTGCTGCTTTTAGAGCTTGCTCTCTGCCTTTGATGCTTCTAAAGAATTCTCAGCTTGAACGAAGCAGCATCCATTTCAACGGGTAGCTCTGACCCAGGCTTCTGCCAGAGGAACAGGGATAGACTTCAAAAACCAGCTCTTTAATGTTTAACATCAAAATCGTCTGGCAAAGAGACTGTCCCCATTCTGGGACTGTGAAGGTCACCCTTATCACGCATAAATGCATGGTCATTGTACTGTTAGACTCTGAACAGTATTCTAGGCCTGAGGGTCCGTCACTCGATTGACTGGAAAAAATATTAGCACCTTTGCTCTATAGGGACACCAGTTTGTTTTCTAAATTTATTTTTAAGATCAACTGTCATTTTTCGTGAAGTAGGTTTGAAAATACTTTTAATTTCTAACCTGCATCTATCTTATGCCGCAAAGTGGCAGGAGGGCGACCT